GTCATCTAATCCTCCTCCAGTCTCCTTTTACCCCTCCTTTGCAGTGGGAGAATGGGTTCCAGGTGAGCGCTAAAATGACGTAACACAGCAGGGGCCCACGTGATTCTATATCCGCTGACCGCCTTTTTGTATCTGTTAATGTATTCCAACACTTCGGCGACGTACCTATGAAATAATAGATTGCTTCATGTGAGAGGCGCGGTGGCCTAGTCGCTAGTTACTTAGAGGTCTGGGTTCGAGTGTAAAGAAGTGTGCCTTAACGTGACACTCTCTCCTCAGCTTACAAGATTTGTTCACGACTGTCACTTACAAGTTTTCTCCTGCCAATAAACGAGTACTCTGGCATTTTGGAAAGCTTTGTTTTCTTTTTCTTGTAAGTATCACTTTTGATTCCAAGCTAAACAAAAGCGTTTAAAATGAAGCTACAGTAGGTTGGAGCTAATAATAACTTTACTCATTACATAATACCACGGCATTGCACATACTTCATGTGTGATTCAGTATATGTCCTTCGTGGTAGTGCAAGGCGAAGAAGCTCTCGATTCTCGTGTTCAAACTCGTTGCCATTTTCCAGATTCTCAGAAGCTTTACCATGCATCACACCGCCAATTTCACCACAGCGGATTCCACCTGACGAATTAACAGAGGTAGGCCCAGGGTAAATAAGGAAATCTAGTATTAAAATTGAAACCGACGGCCAATTAAGAGCCTGCAAAGACACTGTCTGAGCCTGATTCTCAGACTGTCCAGGTCGCTAGCAGCCAAGCGCTTTCTCCCCATTCCCCCGACGGAGAACGGGAAGAGAGCGCATGGCCGTGAGCGATTTGGACCGTCTGAGAATCAGGTTCAGACATTGTATATTTCACGGGTTATGAAACAGTTATTTCTTGGGCCCTCGGTAGAGGGTCTCATGATTTGAGTTGGTGGTCTGAGGTTAAAATGGATTCAGGATATAACTAAAATCTCTTTAGCCTTGAAATTTCCTCTGAAATGTTTATTATTCTTCGCTAATCTTCTGAGAACTTTCAGAATTGATCAGAAACTTAATAACCTTTAAGAGAAAAATAAACTTTCGTCGACCTTGATTTATTGTTCTGTGTTAGTTCTGTTGGCATAAGGAGAAACAGGGAGAGGAAGGATAAAGAAAAATATAGCCATGAAATGCTAGCACACATAGCATTGTATATAAGAGACTATGATCTTGATCATTAAATTAAATTTTTGCTCGTTTTAGGAGGAGGAGGGCATGGCTCGTAAAAATGTACCACAACTTCATACATTACGCCGTCCCCAAAGTTTCTTACATTATTATCTGATTTTACCTTCCACATAAAGGGCACAGCCAAGAGCCCATGCAGGGAACTGCTCCTTGGGAATTTGCGGCAACATGGCGGCTGCATCAATGTACACTGCATGTCCACCTGGAGGAGTCAAAACAGGAATGCGGTGCTCCTTCAGCAAATCTGCAAGCATTTTGACAAACCCCACTTGATATCGGAGATAGTCTTCCTCTAGAACCTCGCGTAACCCCACTGCCATCGCCTCCAGATCTCTCCCGGCCAACCCACCGTAGGTGACAAATCCTTCAGATATGATCAACTCCCGACGGCACTTATCTGCAAGATCTTCGTCGTTCATAGCCAGGAATCCGCCAATATTCACGAGACCATCTTTCTTGGCAGACATAGTACAACCATCGGCGTAGGAAAACATCTCGCGCGCGATCTGAAGCGGCGTGCGATGCGCGTAACCTTCCTCGCGCGTTTTGATAAACCAC